AAAAATGACTATTTGTCTAACAACTAAATTGATTTAGTTCAATTTTCCATATCATTTTTCTCAGTGTAGGCTTCAAATGTGTTTAAATGTGTTTCTCTAACTCGAATTTTCCATAACTCGAAGTTTTCTTCCGCTCCCTTAGTGATTTGAGTTAGGGAAATTTCACTGTTTAGCAACATCTTTAACATAGAAAATAAAAATTTATTGCGTTTCCTTCACTAAATCTCCAAATGAGGTCATTTTTAACCTTCCGGCGGGCGCGCTTGTGTACAAAGTACACATAATTGTGTTTAAGGGGTAGAATGACGTAATTTCCGGGGAAATAAACCTTTCTTTAGCAGGTATTCCTTTAGAGTTAATTTGTCTTTTGAAGGCTACGGTTGAAAATTTTTTGAGAGGCTTAGAAATTACAAAAAAAAATAAATTAGTGAGATTAAGTGAGTTTGTGTACAAAATACACGTACGCGCCTGTTCGTGTTATTGTTAATTAATTAAGGTAGGTTAATATTTTGAAATCTTTATTTTTAAAACACGAAATTAACGCTGAAAACTTAGGATTTATTTAGTTAATTTTTACCTGAATGATCTCTTTATTTTTATTCAGAATGTCAGGAAATGATAATTTGAGAGATGGCTTGTTAGATTTTTTGGAAGAGGAACCTAAGGAAAGTATCGACGATAGCGATATATCCGATGAAGAAGAAGAAATTGTGCAAAGTGAACATGATAGTGACTCAGAGCAGAGCGCCAATGAAACAGAGGAAGCACACACAAGTAGTGGTGACTTTTTTCTAGGAAGAGGAAAACCGAAAGTAATAAAAAAGACAAGTTCGGCGAGCAAGTCTGAGGTAAACCAACAAGATGACGAATCATTGAAATGGTATAAAAATCCTAATAAGCGACCTTCGAAAATTAGGGGTAAAAATATCGTAAAAGTTCTACCTGGACTTACAACAAAAACACGGAACATTACCGACGAAATAAGTGCATTTCAAGCAATTATTACTCCAAACATAATCAACGATATTGTCCGATATACAAATAAATACATCGAATCCAAACGTAATACGATTTCATATTCGAGGGAACGAGACTGCCAAAATACAACAATTTGCGAAATATTAGCTTTATTTGGAACTCTTTTCTTGATTGGTACGAAGAAAGGATCTCATGTAAACGTGATGGATCTGTGGAATAGTGATGGCACCGGCATTCAAATTCTCCGAGCAGTAATGGGTTCCAAACGATTTTTATTTCTGTTGAGAAGTCTTCGTTTTGATGATAAATCAACAAGGAATGAAAGGAAGAAAACGGATAAGTTGGCTCCAATCAGATCAATCCTTGATTCCTTTGTCAATAATTGTAAAAACAGTTATAACGTTAGCGAATATGTAACCATTGACGAAATGTTGCACTCGTTTAGAGGTAGATGTAGCTTTGTGCAATATATACCAAGCAAACCTGCTAAATACGGTATAAAAATTTTTGCCATGTGCGATGCCAAATCTTTTTATACCAGCAACTTTGAAGTTTATTGTGGGCAACAACCAAATGGAATTTATAAAGTTTCCAATTCACCCATCGACATTGTGAAACGGTTAATAACACCAATTGAAAATTCTGGTAGAAATCTAACGACGGACAATTGGTATAGTAGCTTAACCTTAGCTAAATATCTTCTAGAAAAAAAAATTACATTCATCGGAACATTACGTAAAAACAAACGTGAAATTCCTCCGGAGTTTTTGCCAAATAAAAATCGTCAACCTCAATCATCTTTATTTGGCTTTCAACAAGATACTGCATTAGTCTCTTATGTCCCAAGAAAAAACAAAGCCGTTATATTATTATCAACGATGCACGACTTACCGGAAGTTGACGAAGAATCTCATAAACCCGAAATAATTTTAAGTTATAATCAAACAAAAGGAGCAGTAGATACGGTTGATAAGATGTGCGCTGCCTACTCTATTTCGAGGGTCACTAGACGATGGCCATTAGCCCTGTTTTTTACGCTGCTAAATATAGCGGGAATAAACTCGCAAATATTGTATTTTACAAAACATTCTACGGGAAATCAGTGTGGTCGAAGAATTTTCTTAAGTAATTTAGCAATTGCTTTAATGAAAGAGCAACTAATTATGAGAGCTCAAATAATTTCGCTGCCAAAGGATATTCGAGCGTTTTTGCAAATATCCTACAAGGGCGCTGAGTGCGGGAAGTCGGAAACACAACCAACTCAATCTAAAAAACGAGGGAGGTGTAAATTGTGTACAAATACAAATACTACACAAAAATGTTGTAAATGTAAGCAATTCATATGTAAAAAACACTCAAAAACTATGATAACTTGCTCGACTTGTGAAATGCATTCAGACTCTGACTCATAATTGATTTATTAGTTGTTCATTATGTTATTATATTATTGTAAACACATAAAATATAACAATAAAGTGTCGTGTATTCTCTGTATTGTTTTTTTTTTGTGAATTAACATGTAAATTTCCCCCAAAAGAAGAAATTTTCCTATGTGTACATTGTACACTACGCGCCTGCTCGTGTAATAAAAATAGGCGCGCCTGCCGAAAGGTTAAAGCTAGAATCTCTATCCTATGCGTGTACTATATGTGATAAGGAGGGCATATTTGGAATAAAATTCTCAAAACATTACATTTTTTTTTAATTTTATTTATAACAACATGGATTGATAAAGGTTAAATAATAAATATTTTTGTACAGTTATTTAGAATCTACATATTCTTAAGTTCCAAATAAATACAACTATAAATATTTTGTTATTATAATTACATCAATTACACAATCTTAAAAAAAATAATACAAAACTTAATTACATATTTACTCAGTTTTCTTTTCCTCCTTCTTGGCCTCTTCCATTTTCGTTTCAACAACTTTGGGTTGTTGTTCGACGACCGTTTTAGATGGAGTTCCAGTTTGAACAATTGGAATACTTCTTTCTTGATTATCGGGAATAACGGTAATTTTCGGTGCGGTTATACTTAAAACTCCATCCGTTGAAAGATTCGATTGGATCCTATCCAAATTCAATCCATCCGGAAGAACATATTTCCTGGTAAATTGTCTCGAAATAAATCCATGCTCGTCTTGTTTTTCTTCGTGTTTTCCTTCGATCGTTATCGTATTTTTTCCAGTTATTTTCACCGTAATCTCATTCGGACCAAAATGTTGCACATCAAGGTTAACTTGAAATTTATCTTTATCCACGGTTACCATCGATCCAGCGTCTTTTTCGGTCGACGGTGATCTCCAAGGACGATAATATCCAGCCGGACAACGCATCATCGATCGATTCGATAAAGTTAACGGAGAAAGTAAATCGTCGTGGCTTAATCCCAAACCGAATTGTTGATCGATGAGCCGCGAGGGACGATAAGCGAAGTCATCCCAATAATATGGAAACATAGACATCTTACTTCTTTTTTCTGTTTAAGCGTAAATATTGATGTTTTTAAAATAACTGAATACTGAAGGTGTGGTCAGTTGTACATCGTTTTATACCGAGTGAATCGTTCTAGAATATTTTGAGATGATTCAATGAGGGGGGATTTGCTAAAAATAAGCTTGATATTGTATATTTTTGGCGCGCCGAGTTTCGTTTTAGTTTTACTGATTCAAAAAGGAGATTTCTAGATTGAAGTAAAGGTGTATATCAGATTTTTGGCTCGAAATCGTTTTGGCAAAAACATCGCATAAATTTTTTGTTTTAAGATTTGTGGAAGTTATTTTGGATTTAAGCAAAATTTTCCGATCATTACACAAAATTGTTTAAAAAATCTTTTGAAATCTTTAAGTTATTGATATTATTACCATGAGATACGATGAGAATATATTGAAAATTTCGCAATTTTCGTTTCGCTTCAAGTATCGTCGCATCTACACTGTCAGAAAAGTTCCATTCAGATGTCCGCAGCTTTAAGATAATTTATATTCTTCAATTACGCCTTCAATACTCAATTAAATAAGCACATAGAAAATAGTTGCGTAATAAGAAAAAAATTTTAATGATTTGAATTTCGAGAAATAACTAACGAGAAAGAAAGTGATTTTGAGTCATTTATAGAAAATTTGCTGATTAGTTTTTAAGTATTTAAAGAATGAAAGTTAATTTGATTTTACTGGTTTAGTTGAGAGTTTGTCTTTAAGCGACCAAGTTGAGTTAAAAATGGTAAGTTATCTTTTTTTTAATTTTGATAAGTTAAAATAAATGTTTTTTCTTAGATTATTAAATTAGCACTTATCATTGTCGCCTTAACAAATCTCGTTGCTTCAACTGAAATTAGTAATGGACATTCAAATTTACCATTTGGTTGGAAATTGGTTAAAATCAACCGAAAATTAACGAATTCGTCAAATCTTAGTCAAATTAACACCGAATTAATTACCTCCGTTTCAACGCAAAATAAAGATAATTTTGATCAAAACGACTCTCGAGATGTAGAAGTCGATTTAGAAGCACCACCAGGAGAAAGTTTTCCAAATCATGATGTTACAGATAAAGTTAATGAAAATAAATTAATTACTAAAAAGCTGGAATTTAAAAGCAATCAAAAAATTGAAGAAATTAATTCAACCAAAACGAATTTTACAATAAAAACTGCTAATTTGGATGAAATTTCTATTGGCAGAAAAAATGAATCTATCCAAAATGGGGATGGAGTTGATTTTACTCAAGAAGAATTGGATAAATACTTTCTGCCTAAACAGAATCAATTTGTATCGTTTGTAAAGAATGAAAATGTTAATAAAAAGGACGAAGATGCTAAAAAAATGCCATCAATAATTGATGAAGCGAAATTGAACAAATATTTCTTACCAAAATCTACAAATTTAGACGAGTTTTCATTCAATAAAAAGAATGAGGAGAAACTAAAAGATAAAAATGAAGAAATTACAATAGAAAAGCATGAAGGAATCAAACATTTTGTTGTTAAAAAAGTAAATATTAATTTTACTGATGAAGAGTTAAACAAATATTTTCTACCCAAACATAAGAATTTGAAACCATTCCTAAAACTTAAAAATGAACAAAATAGTAATGATGGCAATAAAAGGTTATCATCAACAATTATTGAAGAAGATTTGAATAAATATGTTTTGCCAAAGTCCACAAAAGAAAAACATGAACTAATTAAAACTTTGGTTGGTAAAAGAGAAAACATTGATTTTACTCATAAAGAATTGAATAAACACTTTCTACCTAAACAGAATCAATTTGTATCGTTTATAAAGAACAAAAATGTTCAAAATGTTAATAAAAACGACGAAGATACTAAAAAATTCCCATCAATAATTGATGAAGCGGAATTGAATAAACATTTCTTGCCCAAATCTACAAAGTTAAACGAGTTTTCATTCAATAAAAACAATAAGGTGAAACTAAAAGAAAAGAATGAAGAAATTATAATAGAAAAGCACGAAGAAATCAAAAATTCGGTTGATAAAGAAGAAAATATCGATTTTATTGAGGAAGAGTTAAACAAATATTTTCTACCCAAACAGAATAATTTGAAACCATTGCTAAAACTTAAAAATGAACAAAATAGTAATGATGGCAATAAAAGGTTATCATCAACAATTATTGAAGAAGATTTAATTAAATATTTTTTGCCAAAGTCCACAAATTTAGACAAATTTTCATTTAGTGGAAAGAATGTGGGAGAAACAAAAGAAAAGGATGAATTAATTAAAACTTTGGTTGCTAAAAAAGAAAACATTGATTTTACTCAAGAAGAAATAAATAAATATTTTTTACCAAAACAAACACATAAAAATAATTTTTCATTTAGTACAAAAAATGATGACAACAATAAACACGACAATGCAGAAATTGTTGAGCTTGAATCGGTAATGAAAACAGAAATAAAAAAATTAGACGACAACCAAAAACATGTCCCTCAACAAAATACTTATACATTCAAAAACAATCACAAACATCTTATAACTATTAATGAAAAAGATCTAAAGAAATACTTCTTACCAAATGAAAATCCTTCTAATTTAATTTTCAATAACCATTTCAATGTCAATAATAAAAAGTTAAAGATAAAAACGAATTTAAATTATGAGGAAATCAATAAGAAAGTCGTTAATAATGTTGAAGAAATTCGGAAAATTGAAACCAATCAGAACTATCATCAAATCAATCAAGAATTTGAACACGGTTTTCATGGATATCCTGCGAAACAACCAATTCAATATTTACAAAAATTACCAACGAACCGAATTTGCAGGTTTAGATCAAAAAATGTAATATTGTTCAAACCTCATCATCGACAGTTTCAATTTCATCATAATGTAAGAACCCTGTCTCCATCTGATATATTTCATCGAATGAGGAATAATGTTTTTGGTTGATATATTTTAGTTTGTAAGAAGTAACTTATTGTAAACATTTAAGTGTAATTATTTTATATTAAACGGTATTATATATTTTGTCTTTTATACATAAATTGTTATTGTTTACTTAATGGTTTTTCCCAAAAGAAAAAATTTCATTGATGAAGAGGAGCTGTGACGTCCGACGTAACCGAAATTTAAAATTCTTATTCAGTGCTGATGAAAAGTTTTATATTCATCCCTTGTGGATTTGAAATATAAATATACGTTACACTTCTAATATTATTTAATATCAAGGATTTACAATTAGGTCATTTCCATTTAGCCGATCTAATTGGAAATTACCTTTCTTCTGTTGTGTTACGACACGTCTTCTCAGAAACCTGGCAGATGACAGCCTTAGGTGAGTCGTTTAATATAATATGTAGTTTTGAGAATTACTATTTTGGGATATGTAAATTAAAGTTTTTTCAACTCTATTTTAAATCAAAGTTATAAAGTTTTATCAACGCTGGCCTTATTACATCTATGTGCTTCTTTTGTTCATTACTCCAACAGTTAGTGTACAGAATTTGTAGATGCGACAAAGATTGTTATTAAACTGCTAATATACAGGGTAATATATAAAATGCTCGACCTGATACATTCTCTTTGTATCCAACTTTAGTATCATTCTTCTACCTATAAATAACATTCACCTTCATACAAAATTTGTATCTCTTCCGTATTTAGCTTACCTTTCCTGTTGGGTTTTCACATATCTTCCTATTTAAGGTACGATCAAGATCTGCTCATCAATGGATAACGATTTAGAGTTGTTTCATACAAAATTTTTATCTCTTCCGTATTTAGTTACCTTTCCTATTGGTTTTTCACATATCTTCCTATTTAAGGTAAGATCTGCTCATCGATGAATAACGATTTATAGTTGTTGCTGTTGCGACTAAGTCGCATCTTGTCTGTAAAGCCCACTACTATTTCATTGTTGGCGTACCCGACAGTCCAATAGTCATGGTACACACAAAAAAAAACAAATTTCTACAGCAATAGTGTTGGTTCAAAAGGCAATGTTTGCAAAGAATCCAGCTTTCAAATACCACTCAAAATATTGTGTTAGCTTTTTGACATTATGCCACTGATTCTCCTCTGAGATGTTCTCTGCACATTGCATTGATGCGACAGATACGGGTCTAAAAGCAGTTGAATGTTAGTCTAGCTGCAGAAACATTCCTGGTAGTACTAGACAGATGTTGAAGCGGATTATCATGGGAGCAATCCCAGTCACTATTTGGTTCTTGAAAAGGTTGCAGTTCCTCATTATCTATATCCTGGTTATATACGTCATCTTGATTCCCGTCAAAATTCTCCTCTTCATAATCAGAGACATTGAGAAATAGTTTGTCATACAAACCAGAAATCGTAAATAAGTAAGATTATGTTCAATAGTACCCACAATATTACATGGGCCCACTGTTTTTCATATTACATGAAAAATAGTGGGCTTGCACCATTGACTGCTGCTAGCCAAACTGATTATGATATTTGCATTAAATAAACGTTTATATGATGTAAATAAAAAACAGATAACATAACAAATACTCAACAACAGTTAACTTACTTAAGTAAAATTGACATGGCGAAAACTTGGAATTTATGAAGTACAATGGTCCTTCGAATTAAAACCTAAAGCACTTTACATGATGAAAGTTGTAGTTATATGTCTCTAAAGGTCTATTCTAATCTTAAATAGAAAAGTTTCAAAATAATATAACAAATTGCGGCGTCAAGAAGTTTTTATTACAACTATCAAATAAGATACTCCGGTCCCAGGAGGATATGCACTTTATTATCTCCGGATACAAATGCACCAGTGGTAAAAGTATTTTTTAATGTTGATATTGTTTTATTGATTAACAAAGTTATACTCCCACCATGTTCTCTCATCTTATTCTTGTAAACTTACTACTTTGGAAAGTAAATAGTTGCTCATCTAAATTAAACAGAAATCTACATTACTTAATAAATAATGTAATTCAGTAAAAAAATGGTTATCTAAAGTTATAATTGAATGTAATGTTCACATGCATACAAGTTTTTGAAGTGCCTCCCAAACTGTAAAATCGGCAACGAGCTATTCTTTGAACAGATTAAATGCATTCCCAAATTACTGAAAATGTTTGAAACATCACAAGCGTTCGACATACAATTATTACAATTTCAAACAAGAATATCTGAACTCTCCTATGCTCCAGTACTACATCAATACAACGGAAGTAAACGAGTTCCTAAACGACGTTTACTTATTATAATTATTAAGGATCTTTACTAAATAGTGCTTACAAAAGAATAAATTGTATTAATGGAAGACGACACCTCCTTATAGAAGACAACATATTGCTAGCAGAAGATTAGATATGACTGGCACAACAAAAAATACTGTTCCCAAAAAACTACCTACTATGTGCAGAAGACTAAATACTGTTCATTGTAACAGACAAAAGATTAGATATTGCTGTCAGCAAACTATATACAGCTTATATAAGTTTAGACTTCTAACTATACTTCTAACAGAAGAGTAGATACCGTTAATAGAAGAAAATTTACTGTCACTAGTGAATTATTCATAGTGTAATAATGATGTATTAAATACATTAATTTTCCCTTCTTACTAGACAAACACATATAAAACTAACTGTTTTCAACGTTTCAGCAAAATCACAACTATAAAGCGTATTCCAGAAGTAGTGTGATACTTAAACTAGAACTAACACTAGCACTATTCACTAGAACTAACACTAGACCTAGAGCTAGAAACGTTTGGGTAAAGCCGTGCGTTTTTTGAAAAAATGTTTAACGTTTCGGATGCCTTGTAATCTGAAGAAGATGGCATCCGAATATATATATATTTACTATATTTATATACATATACAGGGTGATTTATAATTTATAACATACGGAGCAGATTAAAAGAGCAAGTACTAGGGGCCAAACTGAAATATATAAAATACAAAAATGATATTAGTAGTATGTTATATATATATATATATATATATATATACTATAATACCTACTAATATCTATCTATACTACTAATATAGATGACACTTTCGTGATCTGGCAACATGGAGCAACTCCTGGAATTTCTAGACCACCTCAATTCACAGCACCCCATGATAAAAATTACCATGGAAACAGAAACTGCAAAACAGTTGCCATTCCTGGATGTGTTAGTCACTAGGAAGACAGATGAGGGCATGGAACTGGGATATCGAAAGAAGACGCATACGAATAGGTGCCTGCAGGCTTCATCTCACCACCACCCACAACAGAAGAGGTCCGTGATTCAAACCTTATTCCAGCGAGCAGAGAGGATATGCGATAAAGAGAACCGAAGAAAAAGAAGAAAGATTTCTAGAAGATGTGCTACAGAAGAACGCTATACGATGGGAGATATCCGACGAGCCACCAAACCACGCAAACAGAAGGATGACTCGGTAAGTACGACACCAGCCGGTTTTATCTGCCTTCCTTATGTTTCATGTATGACGGAGCGAATTGCGAGGCGTCTGAAGAAGAATGATATCGTGGTACGATACGGTACGGTCAGCAAAATACAAAACGCTCTACCGATAGCCAAAGACAAACTAACCCCATTAAAGGGAGCGGGAGTCTACCGGCTATCGGGCAGTTGCGGGAAATATTACATTGGCCAAACTGGACGTAACATCGAGTGCCGCATCAAGGAACACGAAAGAGACGTCCGACTAAGGAAGATCCAACAATCTGCAGTCGCAGAGCATTGCCACAAAGAAGGACACAGCATAGAGTTCGAGAAAACCAAAGTGCTAGCAAGAAACAGACATTACTTCCAAAGATTGACGAGAGAGGCGATACAGATTCATCGACATTAAAGACCCTAGATTTACAAAGTACCGCAGTTTGCCGCCATTTTGGCTCGAAAGTCAAGCGGGAAATTTAAAACTATGTCGTTCTATTGATAACATTACGCCAAAACTCCTTTCTTTTTTCTCGTGGTACTCTTAAGAGCCCTTCTTACTGCTATTTTTGCAACTCCAAAGGCAACAAGACGACAATATTTTCGTAAATACGTGGTGAGATGCAGTGACATGTTGTCAAACCGCCATTTTGGCTCGAAAACAGGCGTCATGAACCGCGGTACTTTGTAAATCTAGGGACTATAGACATGGGAATAACATGAATAGAGAAGATGGTTGGGAACTCAGCCGCACATGGAGGATGCTAGTGAATTCAACGAAGCCTTCTCCACCCGGATTTGACAAAAACAACTTAGTTGACAATTAGATACTAATTAATTACCATTTCATGTATTTGTTGTCAAATGTTAACCGAATTCGTCACTTCGAACTTGTTTCTGAAAAAAGTTGCAACATGGCATCCGAAACGTCAAACATTTTTTCAAAAAACGCACGGCTTAACCCAAAAGCGTCTAGGTCTTGTGTTAGTTCTAGCGATAGTGCTAGTGTTAGTTTTAGTTTAATTAACACCGGCCGTGAAAACCTTCGTACTTATAAAAATTATATATAAATTTTAATTATTCGCTATCTGTCAACCATTCAAAAATGGGTCGAAAGTTGTATTCGCTCTCAAAGTGCAAATAAACGCAAACTACGAAACAAGCAACTTATTCAATTGTGCAGCAACACTGCCCGAAAATATTCATTTCAAATCCATCGAAATAGCAGCTTATCCCAACGATTATTAAACGAGAAGCCAAGAACATGGCCCTTGAAATAAATAAACAAAAGACTAAGATATTAACGCAAACGAGAACAAGAAGGAATGTAAACCACGTCATAGCTGAGGAAAATGTGGAAGACAAGACAGAGAAACTCAATACAAAAGAATGGAAGGAACCAGAAATACAAAATAGAATAAGGACCGCGACCATAACCTACTTTGCCCTATCCCATTACACTCCAAAACTATACATAGACACTCAAAAATTAGAGTCTACAAAACAATCATTAGAAAGATACTGTGCTATGGATGCGAAACATAGATTATAACAAAGACCACAAAGAATAAGCTGGAAGTATTTGAAAAAAATACTGAAGAAAATATATATGTAGAGAAGGCGATACAACGTAAAACTTAACCATCTACTCAAGAAGCCCCATCTCTCAGAATTCGTCAGGTTGCACAGACTGCAATGGGCTGGTCATATATGTTAAAAAGGCTCTTAAACAGCAAAAGACAAAGGACCGAGAAGGAGGCCTTGAAAATGATGGGAGAGCGAAGTGATGGGGGACACACAACTCGCAAGCATCCGAATCTGGAAGAAAGAGAGAACAACATGGAAACTCTTCAATCAATAATTGCTGTAATAAACCCTCTTTATTTATGAATTTTAGAAGTGTTTTATATGAAACTCAAAGTAAAATATTTATTATATTTTATTAATTGGTACGACGTTTACATGTTGACTTAACAATAATTAATGACTACTTAATATCTAGTTTCACAATTTGTAATAATTGTCCAATAAGCACAATTCATCATATTACCACATTAACTTTAATTGTTTTATAAAATAGGAATGTGCTTCCTTCGCATTGCAAAAACTAAACTCTATTGATTACTGTATCTTCATTTATTTTGACTTGAAGTATGGCGTGTGCGTGTATGTGTTTCAAGAGGTTTGTGTATCGTGAATCATTTCTGGCCTGATTCATTGCTTGAAGGAAAGCCCAGGTTTTGATGCTGTCGAACACATTGTGGAAGTCCACGAATGCCAGATGTAGAGTACGCAGTATTCGGTTGCCTTTTCTATCACTGTTCGAATTGTTTGAAGGTGATATCGATCAATGGTGCTGAATCTTTCCTAAAACCCATCTGTTCTACAGGTTGATATGCGTCGAATTTAATTTTTAACCTGTTTGTAATAATCTTGGTCAAGAGTTTGTATAGAGACTAATGGCGTGAACTAAACCGTAAACCGTAACCTTAACAAGGTGAAAAACAAAAATATTTAAAAAAATTTGATCGTAGTAATTATTTCTACATTACATTACATGACACTTTTTTTTTACTAGACAGAGACACTGACACTTTTATTTGTCATTAATTTCATTACAAAAACATCAATTTTTTAAAATAATGAATGTTATAAGGCTTAAAAACTTTTCCATTTACACTATTTGGTCTCGATATTATATAGTAAGTAAACAATTATGAAATTGTATGAAAACAATTGTAATTTTTAATTACTTTTGACAAAACATTTATAATAATTGTCTTTGAGTTATCAATATTAATTATTTAGCAATTTCGAAATTTGTCTCTAAACAATGATTTAATGAAACAAAACGAAGCCTGTAACACGGAATCTTCTAAACCTGCGAAATCCCATTCGAAACCAACACCAGAAGGAGGTCCAAAAACGTTTAAAATTTATCGGTACGATCCTTGTAAATCTGGAAAAAAAGGTGGCGAACTTAAGAGTTACACAGTAGACACTTCTAAGTATATATTTAAAATTTTATTAATTTCATTTATTAAGAAATATGAGATAAAATCGACTTTATTAATTCATTTTTTTAGGATGAAAGGAAGAATGATTTTGGATGTGTTATTCCACGTTAAAAACCACATGGATAGTTCTTTGTCGTTTCGGAGATCTTGTAGGGAAGGTATTTGTGGTTCTTGCGCAATGAATATTGACGGAGTAAACGGTTTAGCGTGTATTACGTAAAAATTACTAAAATAGTGTTTAATTGTAAGGAAACAATGACGTTTAAATTTTATTGATTTAATTTTTTAGGCATATACCGAAGACTGCTGTAATTAAAATATATCCATTACCCCATATGTATATTATAAAGGATTTGGTAACGGATTTTCATCAATTTTACCAGAACTATGAATCTGTTAAACCGTACCTAATAAAAAACGTTAGAGCTAAGTATGGAGATCCATCTTATATGCAAAGTATCAGGGATAGAAAAAAATTGGTAAAATATTGTATTAAAATATTTCTTTAAAATGAACTTGGGTGTATTTAGGATAATCTTTACGAATGCATCCTTTGCGGATGTTGCACACATTCTTGTCCGTCTTATTGGTGGAACGGCGATAAATATTTAGGTCCGGCCGCTTTATTACACGCTTATAGATGGATAATTGATTCAAGGGATGATGCGTGCAAAGAAAGATTGGACTGTTTGAGAAATAAGTGGTCGGTTTTTAGATGTCATACTATTCTGAATTGTATGGTTTGTTGTCCAAAGGTAAGCAAAAATTGAAACTATAACAAAAATACGGTTTAAAAGATAGTGTTTTTAATTACAGAACTTAAATCCTGCAAAGGCAATTGCTGAAATACGATTGATGTTATCGCCTTTAAAAAAGAAAGAGAAGCCTGATATGCAATGATAAAAAACATAAAAAAGAAGAAATTGTATGTATTAATGCTCAACCGGTTTTAGATTTTTATCTTATTAACTTATATTTACTTATGATTAATTTTTAATGTGTTATTCTTTTGTAAATACATTTTTATTTTTGATTTTTGACATTGCATCGACTACATATCGGGTAGGCGGACTAACCAACCTTGCACCGCGACCCTAAGGATCTATTGTACCCCGATAGATATCGTTATCTAATTTCACCGTGCAGTCCAATGCTTTTAACGAACATCAACATCTTGCTCGGCGAAAGGTCATTCAGATCCCTTGAGGAGATAAACTGCGACCCAAAAATCGAGAATCTGATACGGTTAACGGCAGGGCAGTGACATAAAACATGCTCAACCGTCTCTGCTTCCTCCACACAGTCGGCATTCAACATCGTCGGCTAAACCCAACAAGTTGAGGTGTGCTTTTAATCGGCAGTGCCCAGTAAAAACACCCATTAGAACTTTTATGCTACTACGGGCAAGTCCTAAAATATTCCTGGGTTTGACAGTGGCTATGTTAATAAACACCTTAGCATGTCTCATTCCAGGAGAACTGGTCCACAGTAGGCGAAGTCTCTCTTCAGCCCACAGTCCAATCCTATATTTGGCCATNCATTTTTACTAATACGGTACTTCTTTTAATCACTTTGATCACTCTAACTTTTTAAAACAATTTTCCTCGTCGCCAATGTAAAATTTGTAATAAAATACATTCTTTCTCAACTAATACTTTATTCCGACTAAACGTAAAAATGAAATGTAACAAGACAAACATGTGTTCACACACAAAAACCAGTCTTACAAAAATAACCCAAAATAAACCGTATTCTACAGAGTGAGCCGGTGGAGCAATTAAATTTCGGTTCCGGATATTGACGGAATGAATGTCACCACGAAATCTAATCTTCCTCAGCAAATATGGCGGATTACCGGTACTCAGCAATCGGTGAAAGAAACAGAGAGATGAAAGCAAATAACGACCACGCATATTTAACCAATTTAGGTCTACTAAACGATAGGAGACTCTATCATATTTACGAATGCCGTAAATAAATCTAATGCAAGCGTTTTGCACTCGTTGGATCCTATTCGCGGTAAAAGCCATATACCGGTACAGTAGTATACAGTAGTTAAACAGTGACAAAATCAAACACTGACAAAGCATTTTCTTCATAGCAATACTGAGAACAGCTCTAAAAGTATATAAAACCTTCAATTTGCAGAAGGTAAGACCAATTATTTTAAGAGCGATATCTGAAGGAATTGTCCATCAATGGTCCAAGATTTTTAGCTTCATTAACAAAAGGAATTGAAAGATCATTAATATTAATATCAATATTTTGACATAGGTGTTCAACCTTCTTCTCATTACCAAATAGTAACATAACACTTTTTGAAGGATTTAACTTTAAAGAATGAGCAACTGAAAATGTATTCAAACTACTTAAGTCCTCATTAACCTTTGCCATAGCAGTAATAAATTCTTCTCGGGCAAAATGCAAATATACTTGAGTGTCATCCGCATACATTTGTATCTGACAATTTTTAACACATTTAGGCATAAAAGCAGTGTATATGCAAAATAATAAAGGTTCTAAAATGGAGCCCTGCGGTACACCTCTAGTTATATTCATAAAGTCTGAAACCTCAGTGACCTCGCCTCCCACTCGCACTAACTGTCGCCGATTCTGAAGATAAGATTGCATGAAACCTAAAAAATCATTACTACAACCTATATTGCGTAGTATAGTAACAAAATTGAATGGTTGACAGTGTCAAAAGCCTTACTAAAGTCCAAAAGCACTAATATAGTGAATTTATTATCATCCCTAGCCCTTATTATATCATCAGTAACATTTAATAAGGTAGTGGCACAGCTGCGACCAGGCATAAAGCCCGACAGTCCATCAGACAGAATGTTATATTCAATTAAAAATTCTCTAAGCTGCTTATTAATAATTTTTTCTAAAACTTTACTCAACGTTGGTAATATACTAATAGGGCGCTGATCTTTAAACTCAGTAGGTGAGGTCATCTTAGGTAAAGGCAGTATAATCGCAGACCTCCAGAACTTAGGAAAATAAGCACTAGTAATGCAACTATTTATAATATGAGTAATATGAGGTAGCAGTTGAGGAACCACCAGTTTCAATATAGAAACAGATACCCGATCATAACCATAAGCCCCACTCTTAATGGCAAAAATCAAATCCCTGACCGTCTCCTGCTCAACAACTTACAACTCAAATGGAGAGTTAGTCCCATTTAGTAAAGTAGACGAGTAAAATTTAATAGTGTCAGCTAAATTATCACTACTGACCGGGACACCATTGATGAAAAATTGATTTATTAAATTGGCATCTCTTAAATGAGACGGAATATCAGTGTTTTTATTAGGAACCACATGCACTTTTTTAAACGTTTTCCACGAGGTTTTACTATCAGAGTGTGTTCGTTGAATATTCAAAATAAGCCTTTTTTTCATTATGAATCGCGAGAGTAGTGTAGTTCCTCAACTGCTTATAGTATTGCCAACGAGCGTTCAATTTAGTACGTGTTTGATTATTAGTTGTAAGCTTGTGCCGTGAACGCGAGATGGCGCTACTTCCGAATGACTTATTTTGTAAGAGAGAGATCGAAATAAAGAGAGACATTATTCTTCCAACGATTCCAATAGAAACGACACGTGTTTTATTGAGAGTAACAGAAAATAATTATTAAAAAACCCCAACGTAAGAAATTATGGGGGATTCGTGAATCTCATTGTTCAACCCCCCAACATATGGTCCTTCGAGCCGGATAGTTACAGAAACAAAAGCGGTTTTGGGTGGTTTTGGGCGTCCATGGGAAGAGCCAGGAAGAGCAACGCAGTGACGTACGTAAGTCCCGTTCCTTTTCTTACCTTCCTACATTTTCATTCAACAATGGCAGAACGAAAGAAAGTTTTAACAGTAAATAGAGGTCAAATAAAAGCAAGAATTACTAGATTTGAAACGTATATTGAAAAAGCGTTACCGGAAAATGCAAACGAGGCAAGAATTCGGTTAGAACACGTCAAGGACGCTTTAGCCGAGTTTAACGAGATACAATCAGAATTAGAATTAATCGACGAAAACGAGCTAACAGGCAATGAACGCGATAATTTTGAAAATAAGTATTTTGCGATCCTATCTAAGGCGACTGAATTCGTGGAAAAACACATAATACGGACACCGACTACGTCGGCAGCGGCAAGTGATACAATAGATGTTTACGCGCTTCCGAGACAAAGCGATTTAAGTCAACAAAAAAATGTAAAATTACCGACGTTAGATCTTCCTAAGTTTTATGGTGATTACGTGGATTGGGTACATTTCGATGAAACTTTTTGTGCTTTGGTACATAATGATCCGCATATGGATGATATAAACAAATTTTATTATTTGATCAGCTGTTTAAAGGGTGATGCGGCGAAAACAATCGCTTCATTAGAGATAACGCGAGATAACTACAAGATTGCACGTGATTTGTTAAAAGAAAGATTCGAGAACAAAGAAAAAATAATAAAAACTCACGTATCGGCGTTGTTCGAATTACCAGCGATTACAAAGGAATCTCATATGCATTTACGTCGTTTACTTGACGATTACAACAGGCACACGCGCGCATTAAAGGCATTAGGTGAACCCGTCGAGCAATGGGGTACGCTTTTAATTCATATCTTAGCCAGAAAATTAGATGAAACAACGCGATTTAAATGGAAAGAACACGTTGTTGAAACGTACAAAAGAAAACAAATACCAGATGCACAAAGTATGATTGATTTTTTAACAAACCGATGCAATGTTTTCGAAACGATCGAAAGAGGCAAACCAAAAATTGGAAAGTTATCGGCACATTTGACCGTCGACAAAGCGGAAGGGAAATCACATGATCTACAATTGCGGTAAATTTAAAGATTTAGATGTAAAAACAAAGTATAACGAGGCAAAACGATTGAAACTTTGTATCAATTGTTTGAAGGGTGGCCATTTTGCGAGTAAATGTAAGTCGTTGTCCACGTGCAAAAAATGTGCGGAAAGGCATAATACATTGTTGCATGTAGCAAAACCAATTCCAACAGCGACAAATATAACACCAGAGAACACCAAAGAAAACGATGAACAACCAACCGTACAAGCTTTGAAGGCCACCAACGAGCAGAATGTTTTTTTGTCAACAGCGATAGTTGAAGTAAAGAATGGAGAAGGTAAATGGCAAAGAGCACGAGCTTTATTGGATTCTGGTTCTCAATCCAACTT